GAGCACCCGGAGAAAACCCACGCGAACACAGAAAGAACATGCACAACTCCACACAGAAATGCCAACTAAGCCAAGGCTCAAACCGAGGTTCGAAGGTTATGTTCTACAACTCTAGTCTTTCATGTATTCCTTTAGTATTTTATTACTCTACATTTTGCACCTCCCACCATCAACCCTTTATCAAACAGTTTTTTTCAACCACTGTTCGACCTGTTGTACACTTTGTACCTGTAGCACTTAACCCAAACTTTACACATCTGCCATTACTGTAAAACCCCTTTGACCTCATTCGGCATTTGGGTGGTCCTTTTAGAATGATGACTGTATTAATATAGGATGTCATGTAATGTATTTTTCCACAGCTTTTTAGCCCATTGTTAATTATGTTTATTTACTTGTGTATACATGAGTAAATTTATATATATTCAGTTTTTTTTGTTAATTTCACTAATATTATTGTGATATAATAAGAGTAATATTAAAATATTTATACGATTTATTTATTAGACAGTTTGTAAAGTAATTGTAATAATGTTCGTTTTGTGGGAAGAATAAGGCAGGGTCGGCGATATCAGGTAAGCACAAACTTTTATTTTTAATGCTGTGGGTGTATGTGCGTGTCGAGTCTGCAAGTGGACAGGCTCTCCTCTCTCCGGCTTCTCGTTCTCCTCCCCTTATGAAGGTGTCTCTCCGGCCCAATCACTAGAAAATACAGGTGTTAATAATTATTTATGATTAGACCACTGACCAGCCGCCGGTGTCTCCGCTTGCTCTCCCCCCTTTCTGGGTGTTCGATCACGCCTTCCCCACCACAGTAATATTTTCTGTTTTTAGTAGATTTAACATATGTGAGATTTGCTTTGTTTACTAAATAAAGTGTATTTAATTGGATTTGCATTTTAAACATTAAATAAAACATTTTAAATGTATTTTTATTCATATATTAGGGTTTTAGTTATGATAATGCCCAAATCATTCTGCATAAATCTGCAGATTTTATTTTATTTTTTTAATTCTGCACAGAAATAACAAAGAATGTCCTCAGATTCTGTCTGGCCCTACCGATTAGAAATTGGGTCATTATAGCCCTCAAAATGTAATACAAAAGCTACAAAATGTCATTTCTTAACCATGTGTCATAGTAATGAGAATAGTGGGTGTTTGCTTAAGTCCTTAATTTCTCTGACATTCTCCTCACTGTATTTCTGACAACGTGTGACGTTGTGATCTATAGTTGGATTAACTGAACTATTTATTACAAAAGAAAGGGAATTCTGAATTCTTAAACGGCGAAGTCAACACACCCAAGCGTCACATTCCCAATCACTACATCTGCATAATACTAATTTGCTAGTGTCTGACATATTTACTGTACACTGAAAAAATAGTTCATTGGATTTAATTTTTTTTAAGCTAACTGGTTACAAGCAATTTATATGGGCTGAATTAAAACAAAAAAATTAAACAACTCAGGCTCATTCTGAAAACTTAGTCCTGTGGATGTTTCTGGAGACCGCAAAATACATCCCGGGAGGTACGTATTTTTGCAGTTTTTGTTTGTGCAAATCCACGAGAGGCCCCTGTGTGCGCCTTTTCGCATTTCAAATGTCTCTCATGAATGCCGTTTCTCCGAATGCACTGTTCTCGCGTGAACCCACCAGAGGCCGCTGTCAACCGACTAAATGATTGACTGACCTCCTTACCTAAACACAACCAATTTAACCAATTGCCTCGCCCGCTCGCTTACTTCCCTAAACCTAGCCGACGGTTTACAACAGCCTTCCAGAAAAAGAAAAGCTCTCATCGGATTTTTACCACATTTTGGGATTTTACCACATTCTCACCCTGTTGTTCACTCGTTCATTTTATGTTTTGGATTCTGTTTTTGTCTTACCTGATTTCTGGAACCACTCTTCCCCTGACTCAAACCCGGTCGTCGTCATCATCAACTCCTCTCTGCGTCTCAAGTCCACCAACATGACAAGCTAACTGGACAAACTGACTGCATTGGAAAAGCCATCCACATGGAGGTAAATGTTAATCGCTAAAAGGAACGGCGTCATACCGCCTTGTAGCGTTCACTTAAAAAAATGAAATACAGCCATACGTACCTCTAGCTAAATAATTCACTGTCTCAGAAACATCAGCGGGACTACATTTTCAGAATGAGCCTGTGTTGCGACCAAATGTAGTAATGTTCAACTTAATTTGTTTGTTTAAATTCATTGTATAAATTGCTTGCAACCAGTCGCTGAAAAATGTTAATCCAATGAATAATTTTTTTCAGTGTATCTGCTTTGTATTTTAGTAAATGTAATATGGGTGGCTCAGTAGGTCTGATGGTTTGAGTTCTGGGTGGGCCAGTTTCCATTCCATTTCTGTGTGGAGTTTGCATGTTCTCTCCGTGTTGGTGTGGGTTTCCTCCAGGTGCTACGATTTCCCCCACAGTCCAAAGACAAGCGGTATAGGTAAATTGGGTAAACAAAATTGTCCGAAGTGTCTGAGTGTGAATGTGAGTGTGTATGGAAGTTTCCCTGTTCTGAGTTGCTGTTGGAAGGGCATCCCCTATGTAAAACATATGCCGAAATAGTTGGTGGTTCATTCCACTGTGGCAACGCCTGATAAATAAGGGACAAAGCTGAAGGGAAATGATTGACTGAATGAATAACTATAATATATGTGTGTTGCGTTTAGTGTAATTTGCTTAAAAGGCTATGCTTGTTATTACAAAATGGTATTTATGTGATAAAAAAGTTGGATCATGCTTATTACAAAATATATTCTATGTTTAGATTATTTTTTGACTCATTTATCACATTTGAATGGAATTCATTATACACAGCATACATGCATGCTGTAGATTAAAAGCTCTTCATTTGTTAAAGAGAAAGGTGCATTGTGCTTTAAGTTGAATATCATCCATATATCAAAAACAAAGTGAAGTGACATAAAAGAATAGACGATTAAGTAATAATCACCTGTTTCTGTTGGGTGGCATATTTCTGTCACAGTGTACCTGTTCAAACAATCATACTTCTGTTAACATAAAAGAAAGCATACTTAGTGTGTGACACAGCATCTCCTTGATCTGAGGTCAAAATCCAGTCACATACTTTAGTTAAAAGTCAACCAAATATAATATTTTAATGTAGCATGTCCTGGTAAATATATTTCTAAAAGAGCTATTGACGTGAAACCGACCCAGGTTTTGGTCAAGATCCAAACATACAAAATTGAATTAAAAAATTACTGTAACCCTAACTAATAAAATGTATTTAATACTTTGTATAAAAAGCTCTTTTGGTTATGTTCCATGTCAGTTTTATGTGTGTTTATTTTCTCACCCTCCTCTCTCCGCTTCTCACTCCACTTTGTTGCTTAATGGTTCAGTTACCTGTCCATCATTGTTATGATGGTGCCAGTTCCACAAATCCACGGTAATTTTGAGTTTTGAAGTTTAATTAGTTTAGATCGGGTCTCATATGCACTGAAGATATTGGTTTCATTTTCACTATTTATTATAGTCACCTAGCTTAGAAGTTAGATTTAAAGGGCGAGATTTTCTGCGAGCTTAGGGAGGAGTGGGTGTGGAAAACAGAGCAGAAGAAAAAAGGGGAGTGAGACACAAACCATGAGGAGACCCATGATTTTATACTTTACAAAATTAAAATGCAAAGAAATAAACAATAATTTAATATCCTACTACAATTGTTATTCGTCATTTCATATACACATAACCACAATTTGTTATATCATCATAAAGATAATCGTCTTTATATAAACACTAAAAAGTAATCTGGAGGATTTTAAACATGGCGAGCACGGATGTAGATGATGTTTCTGAATGGTAACAAGTTTAACTGATAAACTCCCATACTGTTCTCTCGACAAAAATGCTTGCTGCAAACCAACAACTTTGCTGTATCGGGCTTGATACCATCATGGGGAAAAACATACAACAAACCTTGTGGATCATGGAAACAAACACATACGATCCATGCCTTGCAGACGAGGGCCTCACGCAGTCATTGGGTCACAGCTTGGCAGGTCTGCCTCGCCTTTGGAAAGAATGTGCTCTCATGAATAATTAAGAAGCAGGGTCTTCTCATAGGATAAGAAAACTCAGCTATGAATAATAATGAAAAAACGACTTTTATCACTCCACCAGCAGATGCACACTATGGGCTCTATTTTGACAGTCCATGCGCAGAGCGCAAAACGCAGGGCGCAAACGCTTTCAGGGCGTGTCAGGACGCGTTTTTGCTAATTTAAGGACGGGAAATCTGCCTTGCGCCGTGGTGCATGGTCTAAAAGGGTTGAGTTTATTTTCTTAATGAGTTATAGGTGTGTTTTGAGAATAAACCAATTAGAGTCTCATCTCCCATTCTCTTTAAGAGTCAGCTGTGGTGCGCCAAGAGCGCATTCGCTATTAACAGGACACAAAGTAAGTCTAAGTGGAAAAAATGAGCATTTCACAAGCAAACAGTTAATAGTTGACAGTTTTTTAATAGAAAACTGTTAAACAGAGCATCTACTGCGTGAGAATGAGAGATAATGGAACTCCTTTCACATTCGCTCTTGGATAGGGAAACCTTTACGCACAGACATCAATTAGCCTATAAATAATTACTTTTGTTTGTTAAGCGCAAATATTCATTTCAAAACTATTTCTAAATTCAGTTCTAATTTCCAGCAAACGAATAAATGAATAATAATAACAAAATGTGCTCAAAAACCAGTTAAACGAGTTACATCCTAAAACACATGTTGTGCCCCATATGGTCCAAAACCTGACAGGTGGGCAAATCTAAGCTTGTATTTAATAAAACAAATATAAATATGGATATTATAAATAATACTGCTAATAATAATAATAACATTATACAAAAGCAAATTGTTATGGATGAACTGAAAAAGCCTCCCGAGATGAAGAAGACATAAAGCAGTGATTTTTCATATGTACACTGTAAAAAAAATCTGTAAAATAACAGTTCAATGACTGTATATTTTAACAGATTTTTTCCGTATACACGTATTACGGGTGTTTTTCCGTTTATATACATTTTCGAATTGCATTGTGGGAAGGGGATCGCAGCTCAGACAGCGTTTGATGGACACCGGGACATATTTCTTCCTCTGTTTTTTCCCTGGTAAGTACGATTAATAAAACATATAACAATTTTTTAGTTAAAAGACTGCTTTATTACCTTTTTATCGTTATTTAAAATGACTTTTGTCTTTTATGAAGCGCCCATGGAAAGTACAGCAGTGAATTACGTTTAATATTGTTAATAAGATCAGACTTTATTTCATTAAGATCAAACTGAGCTATGAGTGGTTAAATGTAATTTAAACAAGCATTTACCTAATGATTTTTTACCTTTTTATGCGTTTTTCTCATCAGTAAATATGATATCTGTTCATTTACAGTTGTTTGTCCGTATTTTTCTAAACTGCCGTGCGCGGGAAGTGGCGTGACGTCCCAATCACCCACTCACTCCCTCTGCACCTGACTGGATTAACGGTAAACGTCAGTTTGTCTGTAAGAGTGTAAAAGGTATGTTAATTATTTTATAGAAATATAAATGTTTTCTTTGTACAGTGCATTGAACAAGGGATAGCATTCAAAGTTTGTGTCACTGTGTAGTTTGGTTGATATACGTTACCTTTAATGAACACTAATGTTAACGTGTTTCAAACGCTCGTAACACCTGACCGTCTGTGTTTGTTTGCATATTAATGACTAATTTCATATTTTTACTGACGTTATCAAATGTTAGCTTTAGTTTGACCGACGTATTAAGGCTGTGTGACCGAGTTTCAGTGGAACAGCTTTGCTGGTTTTTAAGTAAGTTATAAGTTAGACTCGCGTGAATTGGAGGCATTTGTAACTCGGTATGAGGGGAAACACACTCGTAAAGTTTTTATTAGTGGTGGGCCGTTATCAGCATTAACGTGCTGCGTTAACGCGAGACTTATCGCGCGATAAAAAAAAATATATCGCCGTTAATCTATTCTCAACGTTGGGTTGGGAGCTGGGTGACTTTCATACTTTGATATTTTAGCGCGGATGTATACCTGACCGGTGAGCCGTCTGACAAACAAGTGCCCTTATGAATCAAATCAGCAGGATGCCTGACTTTAACTGCAGTTCGGCAGTTTCACTTTAACTCATGAACATTTCATTCATCCCGCGTGACAAACTGGGGTAATAGACGCAAATAAGAAGCAAGAACTGATGAGAGTGTTATGGAATTTAACAACGCTCGCCAAATGGAACGAAAAAAAAACTTCCGCATTTCGCGATGCGTGTTTGTGTGTACAGAGATAACAGAGTGATACAGTACGTGTGTGACATTTAAAAGTATTTATAGTGTTTACACTGTCATGCGTTTTCGGCCTCAAATACAACGTGTACCTTAAAGCACACAATTAAATGTTTGTTGTAGTCGAGTTGAACTGTCATTGATATTTATTTATTCACTTTTAAGAACCTCAAGGGCAGCTAATATGAAGATATAAAGATGAGTTGTTCTTCCACAGTCTTAAAATTCTTCAAACTAATTGTCAGTTCGATTCATTATAGCAAACAATACTTTCTTTACTATTAGGAGATCAGGAGTTTTATTTTAATGAAACCTTGATAATAGAGTGAACTACACATGGTGTTATCGCAAATGAAATCTTTTTATGTAGATTTTAAGTGAGTTTTTTTTTGCACAAATAAGGTTCACTGATATTTTGCTTTGTTGACTTTCAGGTTCTTTCATTTTGGTTATAAGTACATGTTACAGGTAAATTCTTAGATTCAATCCAAACTGAATTTGAATTAATACGGACAAATGAAATAAAATACACCTGGGATTTTAAATGTTTTCATTTTTTTTATTATTCACAACGTTTGTGAAGTCTAAATGTAGACTGTCTCAAACTGAATGAGTGTTATTTTTGTTGTAGGTGTGTTGGTGTAAAAATTGATGCTGACTGGTTAGTACTGCATTTTTAACCATAACAATAATGATTTATATTTAGCATTGCATCTATTGTCATTTTACCAAGAATGTGTTTGCTCTTTCAGAACTCAGGCAGTTGTGCTGGACCCTCTGTACCTTATACAGGAGATGACTGTAAACTTTCAAGTGTAAGAGGTAAAATGTTCAGGGTTTTTCTGTTTGATTTTGAGTGTTTTGTAGATATAAGGTTCACTGATATATGATATAAGATTTGCTTTATGTTTATGTTGTCATTTTGGTTATAAGTACAAGGTACAGGTACATTTTCACAGCAATCTAAATTAAAATCTTAAATCTTACATTCAATCCAAACTGAATTTGAATTAATATGGACAAATGAAATAAAATACACCTGGGATTTTAAATGTTTTCATTTTTTGTTATTTACAAAGTTTAAAGTTTAAAAGTAGACTACGTGCTGCATGTTTCAAACTGAATGAGTGTTATTTTTGTTGTAGGTGTGTTGGTGTAAAAATTGATGCTGACTGGTCAGTACTGCATTTTTTAACCAAAAAAATAAACAATGATTTATATTTAGCATTGCATCTATTATAATTTTACCAAGAATGTGTTTGCTCTTTCAGAACTCAGGCAGTTGTGCTGGACCCTCTGTACCTTATACAGGAGATGACGGTAAACTTTGAAGTTTAAGAGGTAAAATGTTCAGCGTTTTTTCTGTTTGGTTTTAAGTGTTTTGTACATATAAGGATCACTGATATTTTGCTTTGTTGATTTCCAGGTTCTGTAATTTTGGTTATAAGTACAAGGTACAGGTACATTTTCACAGCAATCTAAATAAAAATCTTAAATCTTACATTCAATCCAAAATGAATTTGAATTAATATGGACAAATGAAATAAAATACAGCTGGGGTTTTAAATGTTTTCATTTTTTTTTATTATCCACAAAGTTTGTAAAGTATAAAAGTAGACTATGTGCTGCATGTTTCAAACTGAATGAGTGTTATTTTTGTTGTAGGTGTGTTGGTGTAAAAATTGATGCTGACTGGTCAGTACTGCATTTTTATAAATAATACAAAAAATTAAAATAAAAAATGATTTATATTTAGCATTGCATCTATTGTCATTTTACCAAGAATGTCTTTGCTCTTTCAGAACTCAGGCAGTTGTGCTGGACCATCTGTACCTAATACAGGGGATGACAGTAAACTTCCAAGGTAAACTTCAGGGTTTTTGTTTGATATTGATGCTTTTATTTTTATTATTTGGCAAACCAATTACTTGTACCTATATTTTTACTAAGTGTTTACATGAACACATTTTGCTTCAGTAAGTTTTGAAATTTGTTAACATGTATTCAAACTAAAAAGTACTGGGTTGATGTGGGTGTTTTATCTGGGTTTTTTAAGCTGCTACTGTAATCTGTTAAATGAACCAAGCAGTTATTTATTATTATTATTTATTTTTGCATCATTTGAAATGTTACAAGTTCTTTATTTTTGTAATGTCTGTTTAAAGTGATAAGGAAATAACTGGTCCACTGCTGAATCTCTTTTCTTTTCTCTCTTAGCCACCTGATGATGAGAGAGACAATTTCAATGTGGGCATCTTGATGGTGAGCCAGGCCTTCATGCTGATTTTGTGACAGTTTAATCTATTTAGCGTCATTGTAATAACTTTATTTCAGGATGCAAAACTGGCTAAAAATCTACTTTAAATTTCAACATTAATTGTATGATAGTGTGGTTGATTTAACATTTTATTTAATGTTGGGTTCATTGTAAAAAAATAAGATTTAATTTTGGTTGAATAAATGCTGATTTTGGGACAGTTTTGTCTATTTATTATCATAGAATTACCATTATTTCAGGGTGGAAAACTGCCTAAAAATCAGTGGTGACTTTTTAACGTTGTTTCAATGATAGTTTGATTGATGTTTTAACATTTATTCAATGTTAATTTAACGTAGGTTTGCTCTCTGGGTAAGAACTAACTTAAAAAATGCGAAAAACTTATGTATGTGCCACTTGAATTTTGTATCACATGTTATTGGCATGTTATGGAATTTAACTATGGCAAATAAGTGAGAGGAGATGGAAAGCTATGATGTCTACACGTTTTCCTGAAACATTTTCAAGGTCAATTCTTTCTTGTATAAAGATAGTGGAAAAGAAAGAAATGTAAAACAAAATGGTTTATAGTTTTTTTACATTTTTTTTCTTTCCTTTATTGTTTTTTTTTGCCTTATTTTTGTTCTTGCACTATAATTATTTCTTGTAATATTTGATTAAGTAAATATATATATATTTTAATTTCTTTTAAATTATGTAGCAGACATGTATTTGAATAATTTTACATAATAATTATAATATTTATAATATTATTAATAATATTAATAATTTAACATATAGGTGTGCATATATGTACCCATATATGTACATGTAATATAGGAAAACAGCCAATTTTATATTTGTCACATATTTCAAAAACCTAAATCAAAACCTATATTAAACCATATGTTTATATAGGTTCTTTCCATGTGGACGTGTACCAGACCCAACACACAACTCACTTTTCTTTTCTTTTTTTCAGAAGAAGAGTCCACAGTCACAATAACAAGATCATTGAGCTGTCCCCTAATTGTGGTGAGCTACATGTTTAGTCTCTTATGTGCTAAACATTATGTAGCCTAAGGAAGCAGCCCTGACTCTGGAGTTTATATGAAGGTATGTTTTTACATTTTTAAGTTTATTTCATTTTTATAAGACAAGTAAGTTGATACATGTTTGTTGTATTTACAACAGGAGCATGCTGAGTAACTATCCAGAATGTAGGTCCATAGCAGAAAAAAGTGCACCAAGCAGAAACATACCATCTAAACTCCTTCGATTCCTGTCAGACCAGAAAGACTTTCAGAATCCTTGGAAGATTTAAAGGTAATTAAGCAAACCGGTAATACTTTATAATAACTAAACACTATTGATTAATTTATTAAGCATTAGCAAAAAGTTCTGTTAAGCTTTAACTCTACATTAACAGACCTTAGTATACAGTTTATAACTACAGCTGCAAATGCTGTAATCTTGACTTATAAGCACATCTATAATGTGCTTAATGATTTTGTTTTTATATTTTGTTAATGATTAATTTTTCATTACTAAATTTAGTAAAGCATTATTTACAAACCAGTAATTTAAGAATAGTTGGTGTATTTTTTTCTAATCATTCAAAATGTGTAAGTAAATGGTTAATAAACTATTTAAACTAACATTTATATATCTTATTATTCAGGCATATAGTAATAGTTGGGCAGCACAGTGGCTCAGTGGCTAGCACTGTTGCCTCACAGCAAGAAGACCTCCGGGTGCTCCGGTTTCCCCCACAGTCCAAAGACATAAGCTATAGGGAAATTGATTAACTTAATTGGCTGTTATGTATGAGTGTGTTTGTAAATGTGTGTATGGGTGTTTCCAAGGGCGTACTCATGCTATGCACAGTTGCCTTGAAACTGGAAGCGTGCTTGTCTCCCCCGACGACCCGCACTCACATTGCATTCGAGCCTGAGCATGCTTACATCATCAATAACGCACTGTTCAGTTTAACAAGTGCTCTCACTCAGCACAGTGGAGATTTCTTTATATTGTTATATCGTTTTAGTTGTTCAATATGCAGTGACACGCAGTCAAATATTTCACCGAACAGATCAGCCACTTTTGACGCTCATAAACAATCAAAGTCAACGTGCTGCAGGTACTAGCAGGTTTGCTAAAGGTGCAGCTGTTGTGCAGTGAGGGGTTTGTGTCTTTAATCTATGACAGTTTGCAAGGGACTTTGATTTGGATAAATTAACCACTATTACTATTCAATGAACGCAAACCCCTTACTGCACCACAGCTGCGCCTTTAGCAAACCTCCTATTCCTGCAGCACAAGGAGTTTATGATTGTTTATTAACATCAAAAGTGGCTGATCTGTTCGGCGAAATTCTTGACAGCGTGTTACTGCATCCCAAACGACTAAAACAATATAACTAAAGAATTCTCCTCCGTGCTGAGAGCACTTCCTAAACTAAACAGCGCATCATCGATGATGTAAGAGTGCTCAGGCTCGAATGTGAGTGCGGGACGTCAGGGGAGACGGGAGGGAGGACAAGAGTGCTTCGGCCTGGTTCAAGGCAACTATACATAGTGTGAGTACACACTAAGCTGAAGGAAAATACATGAATGAATAGTAATTGTTATACTTGTATATAAAGTATAAAAAATAAGTATATAAAGTATATACAATACTTATTTTAATAAGTGCTTTTGTTAACTTCATCCAGTTTTGTAGCCTAAAGTGAGGATTGTTTATGCTTTGTAAATCGCCTTATAAATCACAATTAAAGATTCAGTTATATTCTAAAAATGAAATTCATTTTATTGTATTAAATGAAAAATAAATCTTATCTAAAATAAAATTACTGTACAGTTTAAACATAGCTAAATAACACTGAAATGTTGCATCGTAATATATCATAAAATTATTTTATTGTTGTTTTATCCAGTTTTATGTTATATTTTGGCACTCCTGCTATTCAGCAAGGTTTAACTGTCGTTTATAAGGATTTATAAATCATAAATAATCCTCACTTTAGATTAGGCCACAACTGGAAGAAATTTTGTAAATAATGCAATATTAAATATAATATTATATATATATATATATTTTTTTTTTAATCTATAAATAGTAATGTAAAATCAATCATTTAAGTTTGATAACACAATTATTAAACTGTAGCTGTAGCAAATTTTGCAGCTGTATTTATAACCAACTGCTAACATCTATTAATGTAGAGTTAATGCTTAACAGATAATGAATTCACTATTTGCTAATGCTTCATAAATGAATCATAGCCCGTAGTTATTATAGTGTTACCAGCATAGTTTGTTTATATTACTGTTTCTCTCTTGCATTATTGTTCCGAATATTGTCAAAAGTACCTACACTTTATTTTGAAAAATCTTAAAGTGATTTCTCACCCAAAACTGAATAATTGATCATTCATAATTTACCTACTCTCTTGACATTTTAAACCTGTATGACTTTGTTTCCTCTGCAAAACACAAAATATCATATTTTAAAGAATGTTGCTTCTATTTCTCCTATTTTGTTCTGTTGAAGTATGTCAGTCAGACAGGCTTGAAATGACAAGAGTGAGACATGAAGATGATGATAAAACTTTCATTTGTGTAAACTATTGACATGCAAGGAATTACCCCAGTTGTAAGTGAAATGTCATTAGTAATGTTTTTTTTTTTATTTTTTTTTTACAGCCATTGAAGTATCAGTATTGGAGCGGAAGAAGACCCAGTTGTATCGTCTGTTTCCTGCCATCTTGCAGTTAACCTGGTTTCTTAATGTAAAGTACTTGTAATTTGCCCACTTGTCCTCAATTATCTTAAAGCTAACATTTAAAACTAATTTGCTTTGAGATTATTTGCCAAGACTTCTCACTGTGTGATTCACATGTCAATATGTATTTGTTGTGTGTATAACTAGCTATTTGGAATTCAAATGATTTGTATTCATTAAAGAATCTGTTTTAATTGCAAAGTTGTTTTTGTACTAATCATTTTAAGTTCACAGTTAACAATACAGTCTGGAATACATGTTTTGTTTTACTATGGTAAACCATTAGTAGTGTATTTCCCATATGTATAGGTTTATCCTTACCAACTGCTATTTCTATGCTGCTTGAAGAGCATTAAATTAGTAAAATAATATTTTTTTTACAGTAGGTATCCCATTAAAACAAAGAATCTGTTCATTTTTTTCACTGTATATATACTATTAAAAAACAAAAAAGTCCTCTTTTTACAGTAGGTATACAATTAAAACACAGAATCTGTCTGTTTTTTTACAGTAGGTATACTATTAAAACACAGAATCTGTCTGTTTTTTTACAGTAGGTATACTATTAAAACACAGAATCTGTCTGTTTTTTTACAGTAGGTATACTATTAAAACACAGAATCTGTCTGTTTTTTTACAGTAGGTATACTATTAAAACACAAAATAGTTCCGCTTTTTTACTGTTGGTATACCCTTAAAAACACAGAAAATAACCGTTTTTTTATATAGAAAACCCTTAAATTACTATAAAATGGTTCGTTATTTTACAGTAGTTTAACCGTCAAAAAACTGATATTTTTTAGTTTTTTTAATGTGGACACACTGTCAATTAACAGAAGTTTTCCGTTTTTAATTTACGGTAAAATATTTGTGTAATGAGCTGCCAGTACATTTTACCGTTTTTTTACGGAATTTTTTTTTAGAGTGTATGTAGGCTAG